CTTCCCCACACTACCAGGGACTCTTAGCCTCCAAGAGGTAGGTATAGTAGACCTGACTGACCAATCAGAGCATGACAAACCTGCAGACTTCAGTGTCCAGGCAGGCATCTAGTAAGATACAGACATGGGGCTCCTGGGGAGCTTGTGCACCAAGGCTTTCTGAGAAGCTCTGAACCCAAAGCAAAGCAGAATTTGAGAGATTAACAAGTTGACCTCCCAATCATATGTGCAGTCATTAAAATCACTAGAGTTTTTAGTCACATGACCCAATTAAGTACAATTAACACTATCATTTGCCACTCATCAATCCTTCACACACAGACAGAAAGGGAGAAGTCCCGAGGTCTGTTAGAATAACCAACAGTTTATTAAAAGCTTGCCCTAGGGCTCTGTGCCAGCCCCATAGCTGAGAGGGGCTCCCATGACTGCTTCCAGGCTTGGCAGCAGCCCTTTCTGAGGTCCTTCCCTTGTCCCCCGCCCCAGCCCTGACCCCAAATTTAAAAAAAAAAAAAAAAAAAAAAAAAAAAAAGAGGAAAAGGACAAGACGGCACAGGACGTCAAACAGCAACAGGAGAATGGTGAGACCCGGGCACCCTGACTTCAAGACCCCAACCCTTCTGGAGGAAGTCCTCCTCCCATTCTCCTTGCCGTGGGCCCCAGACCTGCACTGCCATATCCAGGTCTGGGGACCCTGTTGTCCCCAGTCCACGGCCCCATCACAAGGGTTGTATAGTTCTCTGAATATAATATGTCTAGACCCACCCTTCCCCTCCCCCAGGGGACCAGATGAATATTTGACACTCACAGTTCCCACCTTTGGTAGGTGGTGATGGAGGGAGACCCTGGCACCATGGTGGGGAGGCAGGGCTCCTGGTCAGCCTTGGGGCACCAATGCCCAAGCTGGCCTGGGGTCACTGGCCGGCCCCAAGAAGCTCATGAGATGTGGAGGTCTGATGGGGGAGCTGGAGCCAACATCCTGTCCCCACCACCACTGGGTAGGCTTCAAGCACACTGCCTGTAGGATCAGGCACCACCCACTCCCACCTTGCCCTATTCCTCTGCTCACCACCCTGCACTTCAGGAATAGAAGTGGGAGGAGCCATTGAGGATGTGGGAAGCAACACTGGTGCTTCGGCTCAGTGGCCCTGGCACTGCAGCAGGTGGGCCCACGTTCTCACTGCTGCTGCCCCCTGATGCCGCCCGCCTCAGGGGTTGAGGGCTGTTTCTTAGCAGCAGCAGAGCCCCTCCACGGGGTGTTCCACTCTGTGCTGGAGGCCCTAGCCAGTTTGGAGGCCCTGGGGGAGCCAGCAGAGCTGGCTGACGCCAAGCTGGTGGGGGCATGCCTGGTGGAGGAGGGCCGTGGCTCCAATGGGCCCCTGAACGGGGAACTGGACGGGAGGGCCAGGCAGGGGCTGGGGGTGGAGCAGGATAACCCTGGGCAGCAGCTTCAGCTGGAATGCCCCCCAGAGCCATGCTGGAGAAACCCAGCCTCATGCTCTCAGCATCAAAGGCCTCGATCTCACGGGCCTGCCGTTCAAGCAAACTCCGGATTCGCTCAGAACGCCCTGTTTGCAGGGCCAGCAGCTCTTCTTCCACCTGGGACACCCAAAACAGGGGTGAGAGTACTGGAATGGAGAACCCGCTCTCCCTTTCCCATCTTGGGGGGGCCAAGCCCCTTACCCGTTGCTCTAGCAGCGCCCGCCTCAGCGCTACTCTCTGCTCCAGCTCCCTCAGCTCCCGCTCGTGCTGACTCTCTGTGCGGATCTTGATCTTGCTCTGGTAAGCATTGAGGAGCTCCAGCTCCTGTTGGAGCTGCTGCCGCAGGGCCTGAAACTCTGCCTCTTGGGTCTCATCAAGCCGGAGCTGGAGGACGGGAGGAGAGGGTTTAGGGACCTCCTCCTCTGTCCCCACCATCCTCCCCTGCCCCAGTAGGCCTGGGCCCTAAGGTGGCAAGGAGCGGCAGTCTCAACCTCTATCAGAATGGAAGATGGTCATACCCTGTGGTACAGCAATTACACTTGCAGGAATCTATCCCCCAGGTATACTTGCACATGTGCTCGAAGTGTTCACGGAAGCGTTGTGATAGCAAAATGCTGGAAACAACCTAAATGTCCACCAATAAGGGATGGGTTAAATAAATTATGGTACAGCCATTCCATGGAAAATTCTATACTGTATAAAAAATGATACATGTGCTATGTATACTGACATGGAATGATGTCCAAGAAATACTAGGTGGAAAAGGGAAGTCAGAAAACTATGTAAAGTCTGACTCTATTGTGTTTAAAATTTCTATTTAATTTTCCAGATATGCACTGGAAACCATTACAAAATTACCTCTGAGGGATGGGACTGAGTGAGAATGGAGTCCTCTAGGTCTTAGAATTCAATGTGCATTTGACTCCAGTGCTGTGTACAGTTTTCCTAAGAGCAACCTTCCAGATTCCTGAAGTCTTGAGTAAAAGGCCTGAGAACCACACTCACTGTAATCTGCTCCCCTGCTCCCTGTTCACACAAAGTATACTCAGGTCCAGAAAAAAGTATTACAGCCATTATTTTCCTTGGTGTTTCTTGGCAGAGCAGGCAGGATGACTTTGTTAAGACAGTAGGAAAATAGAGAAAAAAATAAAACCACTGAGAAGAGTATGAAATAAAACCATTATGAAGAATGTCAGTAGTAAAAGAGTACCCGGGTTTCCTAAGTTCAAAAGTTCTGTTCATACCTCCCTCCTTCCTTTGCCACAACAAATGTTAAAGCAAAGGCCAACCTCCATAGTCTCCCTCCCAGACCCCAGGCCTCACCGCCTGTGAGCTGAGCATCTCTGAAATGGACTGGTCATACTGCTCAGCCAGGATCGCCAGCTTGCGGGTCTGTTCCTCCTTGAGCCGCTTAAGGAGGCTCTTGTGCTGAGCTTTGGGTGTGGTCTCCAGCAAGTGTGCCCGAAGAGCCTTGTATTGCCGTGTCTGGATCTTACACGTTTCCTGGAACTGCTTCTTGATCTGCAGCTCCTTCGACTGTGCAGTGAACGGATCAAGGGGAAATGGGGCAGGGGAGAAGGAGGAAGAAGAGGAACAACGAGGGGAAAGGAAGAAAAGGAGGAAGGAGACAGAAGCAGAGACAGGGAGAGGGAGAGAAACAGAAAACATGTTAGACAGAGGGGGCGGGGGGAGCTGTACACAGACAGACATGGAGAGATGGAACTGTTGAGAGATCAAGAAAGTCTCCATGGGCAAGAGAGGCAGAGAAACAAGAGAGGTTCTGAGTACATCAGAGTTGCATGGGATGTCACAAGAAGGGACATAAGATCTTACAGACAGGGAACTGAGAATCTTCGGAGGACTGGGTACACAAAAGAAGCTCTGATCATGCAGAGAGAGAGGAGATAATATCACCCTGGGATAGAAGCATGTGATCACATGTTTAGGAATGTAACGACTGAGTGAGACACCAAGGCGCACACAACATCCACGAAAGGGCAATACAACTAAGGGCAGGCAGAGGAAGGCCCAGGTCCAGCACCTCAGGGAAGGCAGGGAAGAAGGAAGCACTGTGCTGAGGGATTGGTAGCAGGTCACCCCGTATCAGGCCACAGAAGGGGAGGGGGGGTGGCCAGAAAAGGTCTGAGAAGTTCACTGGGAACAGCTGCCACCCTGATCAGATCCACACATTAGCCCCACCCAAGCCCACAGCAATCCCAGGCCTCTAGTTTGCACATTCTACCTAGTCCCAACTCACCACCCTTGACTGTAGGGGTCTGCCGTCCCAGCCCCCAACTCTGTAGACTAATGCCTGACCCAGGTGATAGACGCTGCTCCAAATCATGTAGGCATTGGGTTCATAGTAAAGGAAGGGACAAAGAGACCAAAAGACTTTAACCCTAAGTACTCTCTGAAAGGGTCTCACAAACAGGGGGAACTGTGAGATCACGAAGTTCTGTGGAAGCTCCACAGGGGCTCACAGCCTAGAGCTGGTTGTGGTCATGGTGCAATGAAGCTATGAAGGCAAAGAGGATGAGGCTGAGGAGTGAAAGGAGTGAAGACAACGGAGATGGGGTGAAGAGGTCATGGAGCTGAGGGCCAAGGGTCCAGATTCGGGGCAAACCAGGGAGGCTAGGCGGCAGGACAAAGCAGACAGAGGCAGCCTGGGCCAAAGGTATAGTTCCGCTCAGATATTTTATTTGTGTTTTTCTTTTTTTTCTTTTTTGTGGAGGGGGAAGGGGACAGGTTGGAAGGGAGACAGAAAAACAAAATCAAAGAGGGAAAAAACCCCATGACTTCCCTCCCTGCCACCCCTGGCCCCAGGCCTGAGCCGATGAGGGTGAGGATGAGCACACACACAGCGGGGGGAACAGCAATAACTTAGGGGATTGGGGAAAACACAGAGTGTCATTTCTGGACTCCAAAGTAGAGGAGGCTGCCTGTCTAGAAATTTCTGGGGCCAGGACCGGACCTGGGGAAAACATACTGAGTAAGAAAGGTCAGAGGGGAGGAGAGGCTGGGGGATTGGAGAAACTTCACTGAGTTGTGGGAGATAAAGTGCTCGATGCCCTAAATTTGGATGAAGGGTTGGAACCGTTACCTCCAGGGAGGCAGGGCCCTGCGGGTCTGAGATCTCCGCCCAGCCACAGTACCTGGTGGTAGCTGTCGGGAA